GGATTTTTGTTAAAAACAAGCCAAGATGGTTAGATATCACCTGGAGAATGGTGGAGGACAAGGAACCTGACTAGATATTGAGGGTGGAGATTCTTGTTAAATTGACTTTACCAAGGTTCTTGCTAAAATTGATTTTGCAAGGAAATGCACATATGGGTATAGATAAAAATTTCAGGATCCTTTCTAATGTTTGGTCAAACATAGAATCTTTGTCATATATATCAATTCTGTATAGATATTATAGATATTATAATTCAGTAATCAAAATTATAATTTTTTTGTTTCGTTTTGTTTTTTGGTCAACTAAGTTCAGTGACTTATAATAATAACAACCATGTATTTAGCTTCAGGATTATGGGTGGGAAATTTAAGATATTATGCTCAGATCTCTCAGCAGAATTTCAGGATGATGCCAGAAGAGGCAGGGATGCCCATAGTCTAGAAGACCAGAAGTCAGGTCTGCACCACTTGCCGCTCGACAAAAAATGAATTACAAATAGAACGTCCTTAATCCAAGAAGCAGAAATCCAAAATGCTCTAAAGCCAGGAACTTTTTGAAGATCAACATGTTAACCACAAGTGGAAAATTCCATACCTGACTTCATGCAATGGGTTGTAGTAAAAATGCTGTAAGGTGGGGGCAGCAGGTGGCATAGTGGTTAAGGTGCTGGACTCTCCCATGGCTGACCATGGTTCAAGTCCTGGACCCAACAGCTTGAAATTCATGCTGGGCACATATGCATGCATGCGAAAATCCTGAGAGGAGAATGGAGGAGAAGGGATTGAGGCATGACTATCCCCTCTGGGGGATGATTTTTCACCTTCTCTCTCTCAGTATCTCTGGTGAGTACACCTGTGCTATAGCAAAAATCTCTCTCTCAAATAAAGAAAGAAGTGCTACAAGTACTGGCCGTGTTGTCTAATGGTTAAGGAAGCTGGATTCCACATGGTTGACCATACTGTTTCAGTCCCTAACCTGGTGGCTTGAAAAACACATTGGACACATGTTCACACATGCTCAAAATGCCAAGAGGATGGAGAAATAAAGAAGGGATTACAATGTGACCACACCCCATGGGGGGAACTTTCTTTCTTACTCTCTCTCTATCTCTCTTTGGCAAAGGCATGTTCCCTCTGAAAATTAAAGAAACAACCAAACAAAAGGAGTGCAATACAAAAATATTGTATAAAATTACCTTTGGACTATGTGTGTAAAATGTGTAATATGCGCAACACAAATGAATTTTGTGTTTACACTCTGGTCCCATCTCCAAGATAACTCATTATCTAAGCACAAATATTTCAAAATCTAAAGAAACTGAAATCTTTAACACTTGTCATCCTAGGCATTTCATATAAGGGATACTCAACCTGTATAATGTTCTTCCTCATGTGATAGTCTGAAGGTGTCCTACATTTAAATACACTTATTGTCTGGCATATATTGTTTATTTTTTTATTATTGCTGCTAATATTATTATTATTTGTTGTTGTTCTTTTTTGGCTTTATTTCACTGACCACATGTAATGGACTAAAGGGGAAAATTCCACAATCCAAGTTTGTTGTGATTGGAGGAGGAGGAGGAAAGGCTGGAAAGAATTCAGGCCCAGACTGCTCCTTTTCTGACTGTCGGAATTTCAGCCTCTGACCTAGTGTCTACCAAAAAAAGGGACCATATCATTTAGGCTTATTTCTTATTTACTATTGGTCAACAACTAGAAATAGAAATCTTGAAAATAGGTCAGTTTTGTTTAGATACTTCTCTCTGTTCCATTCTAGGCGTGTGTTGCTTTGGGATGCTAATTTTCAGAGTAAACTATTTGTTGCCTCCAAGTGAACTTCCAGAGGGAATAGGGTTTCTCCAAGAATTTTTAAACCAGGGGAAAATCTAAATATAATCACCAAAATAGCCATCCTAGTGAGCTTCCAGTGAAAGAAAATGTGGGGAATTTATCCAAGATTAACTTTGAAAAAAAATTCTAAAAACTCTGTGGTTTATTGTTCTGTAGAAAGGAAAACCACTTCTTATTTTTTCCACTCTGTTAAAATAAACAAGCAATAGAGGGAACTTGAGAAATGAAGCTTCCAAAAACACCACAGGAAGCACTTCTTCCTTCAGATGTACGGTGGCTCCAGGCCTCCCCAGCACCTTTTCCTGTCCACACTGACATTCGCTTTGCCTTCCTGCTGCCATATCTTGCATCCTGTAGCACTGGCAGAAGTAGCCAGGGTTGGTCTTGGTTGAGTTGTGCTGAACATGTTAATCACAGCAGAGGTGGAACTGAGAGAAGGACAGTCTTCAGTGCTTCAATGTTTGGGGACCATAACCCAATTAACACTGAAGATCAAGCCAAGGAATTTGCCTCAGAAAAATATACAGATGTAAACATACCCTGAGATTTGTGTACAATTTCTGGAAGCAGAGGACTGCCCTCAGCCTATTTCGGGACAGTAGCTCTGCACCCATGTCGTGGGTACTGGCAGAATCCTGGCTTTCCTTCTTGCGAGGTTCTCTGTTGGGAGCAAAGGGAGGTGAAAGGGGTTTTACTGTAGCTCTTGAGATTGGATCTAGTCTGGAGGTGGGTGAAAGCAGGATTTTTAAAAACATTTTAGGCTCTTTATTTTCTCCTGTTTTTAATACTTTGAATGGTCAGATCTGAGTGTGTGTCATTTCCACAGCTCTTTAGGAACCAGGAAGAAAAAGGAGGTGAGAAGGGAGAGACCTGCCTTAGAGCGAGCACCTCCTTCTGTCTCCCCCTTTCAGCACCATTTGTTACAACACAGTGGAGCCGTGTGTGTATGTGTGTGGGTGTGTATGTGTATTTAATTTGCCTGAGGGCATGTCTGCTCACCAGATAGAGGCAGAGAGAAAGAGAAAGTGAGAAACGCCACCCATAGGAGACAGTTACACTATAATCCCTTCTCCTCCATTTCTCCTTCCTTTCTGGATTTTGGGCATGCATACATGCTTGGTATGTTTTGTTTTTCTTTTCCTTGTTTATGAATTTTTGCTTTTTAGGGCATACGTGCTCACTGGGGAGACACCAGTACAGAGGGAGAGTGAGAGATCACCTCCCCGAGGGAAGGCACATCACAATCTCTTCTCCTCCATTTTTCTCTTGAGATTTTGGGCACACACACAAATGCACCTGGCATGTTTTTTAAGACCCAGGTTCCGGGACTTGAACCATGCTGTTTGCTATGTGGGATTCAGCTGCCTTAACTTCTTTGCCACCTACTGGCCTGCACTGTGTGTTTTTCAAGGCACTGGGCCAAGACTCTAAGTGTACAGTGGGCCATGTAGGCCATATGAGACCTGGCCACATTAATCACCACATCAGGGACTGACCTGCTATGTATGTTTTTAAGCAATCTTCAAGGGGCATGTTTCTTTGTGAGATAATAACCCACTCAGTTTTTACAAAAGGATTTCACTCTTTACAGAACATCCATCTGTGTAAAGTGATGTCATTCACATGCAAATTTTAAGAGATGCTGGGGAGAAATCTAGAGGAGAAACTGGATTAAAAAGTATTTAAAAAGGAAAAAAGGAAAGGAAGAAAAGGGTGTGAGGGGAAAATAAGGAGAAGGTAGATTATGGGATTTGATGTATTTTTCCCCTTCTACTCTAGTGGAATTTTGCGTGTCGGTGACAATGACTGGCTTTATGTTTTCAGTTGGGACTTGTTAATAGCTTCTCTTCCTTACCTTCTATTGTTCCTATTAGAAGCCAGTTACCTGGGTCTGATATGTGGGTATTTGGAGCTCCCACAAGTGAGTGAGCTGCGGCAGATGCAGGGGCCGTGCTAATTCCCACCCCTCTAGAGATTGACGTTCTTGTAACCTATTTGGGTCCAAGGGCCACAGGCAGGTGAGAAAATTCTTCATTGCCCCTGTATGAACTCCAGTGCCATGACAGGTTCTCAGTAATCTTGTTACCTTGCAAAAATTACTTGACCTCACGTGGCCTTGGGATCCTTTTTCTTTAGGGGTAATATTGTGAGCTATTTCCTACTATTGTGAGCTCTTTCCTGGGTGCAAGACATTGTATTCTTCAAATTACATTAAGTAGGTAAATCAACTCTTATTTTTTAAAGATCATCCCTGTGACCAGTATAACCATATAGTTGCCAGAATAACTGGGTTATTTGGGATTAGACAGGATAGTAATATTTATAGCTAACAGTGCTGGGTGCTGTCCCATGTGGTATCTCAATTTATTACTTACAACTTTTCTATGAGGTAGATACTATTATTAGCCTCCTTTTAAAAATAGTTATTTAACTTTTATTTATTATCTTTTAAAAAAACATTTAACTAGAGAGAGATAGAGAGAAAGAGAGAGAGAGAAAGTGAGAAAGCAAGATGCCAGGTCCGGGACTCAAACCATGGTTGACCAGGTAGTAGTCCAGTGCCCCAACCACCATGCCATCTTCTGGCCTCAATATCCTCCTTTTATAAGTAGAGGAAAACAGATATGCAAAGAGGTTAATAAACTTGCCACGAGGGACCAGAAGATAATGTAATGGTTACATCACTGGACTCCCATGTGGCCGACCTCAGTTTGAGTCCCCAGGCAGGCCCAGAGACTTGAAACTCACACCAGGTACGCATATGTGCATGCCCAAGATCCTGAGAGGAGAGAGGAGAGTGGAGGAGAAGGGGTAGCTGTGAGGCTATTCCCCTGGGGTGATTTCTCTCTTTCTGTCTCTGTCTCTCTTTGTCTCTCTGGTGAGCACATGCATCCTATAGCAAAAAGCTCTCTGAAGCAGGAAAAAAAAAGAAAAAAAGAAAGAAACTTACCATAAAAGTCTCCTAGGTGTAAGCAGAAAGCCAGGCAATTGAAACTCAGATGTTCTGGCTCTTTGCAAAGACCGTGCTCGGAGCTTTGGTCCTCTGCAGCCTTTTTTAGACCTACTACAAACACACATTGAAAGGGGAACATTGTGCACAGGAGAGTCTCATACTTATTGAAGATATTTTTCCTTTTCTCTTTCAGGTACCTGACAGCAAGCAGCAATAGAAATTTTCTGCTTACCATGAGGCCATTTTTTAAAAGGGCCATTTTGGTTATAAGTTATGTAAGTATATATTTATATTTATAAATGCTACTGAAATACCTGATGAGGAATGTTTTCACTTTAAGTCAAAGACATGATCCAGATTATTTAATAAAATCAACAGTGGATTCTAGCAGCATATCTTAGTGTTAAACAGTTTGCTTATCATAAATGTTACAAAGCATTTTAAAGTTGATGTGAAAGTGTTCTAGGTATATGTGGACTAATGACACAGATAGGGTGAACCAAGCCCTTTTCAAGATGCTGATGCTGAGTTGTTTCAAGAAGAGGCGGTACAAACCTGCCTGTGTCAGCTATCTGTGTCGCATAATAAACCACCATGAAATTTTCTGAAATTTAGTGGCTTCACTGGAATAACCCTATATTTGCCTTAACCGGTTTAGTCTGGGCAACATTCAGTTGAATGTTCTTCTGATCATGGTTTTTGGCTGGGGCTACTTTATCAAACATATTCGGCTCTCGTCTGGATTAGGTCACCTCGATTTCTACCACATGGTCTTCTTATATCTCCTCCTCTAGACTCCTTCTCTGTAACTTTTCTTTCTAGATAGATAGTCAGCTCTTACTTACCTCTTGACAGCTGGGTTCTGAAAGAATGAACCAGTAGTTTTAAGGCCTCAAAGGTTAGACTCAGAATGACACAGTGCACTTTCCACCATGTTCTGTTAATTTACACAAGTGACATGACCAACCCTGATTTAAGGGGCGGGGCAGGATGCAAATACAGAAAGGGCAGAGGTTCTTGGTGGCCATCTCACCAGATCTTCTTCTTCTCTCAAGGTGACTGTTGTCTTGTACTTTCGTCTGTGGATAATGGGAGGATCTATGCCTCTCTTTTCAGAACAGGATAATCCAGCTTCATTTTCGCCTTACATTCTTACAAGGTCAGTAGAAATAAATCTTTCAGCCTTAACTTGGTATTTGTTAGTTTTACATAATCTTAAAATTATAGGTTGGCTTTGCATTTTTATAGGTTGGCTTTTCATTTTTAAGAAAAAAATAAGATTGTGTTCAGTTCAGCATGTGGAGAGAAAAGAAATTACTAGTCATACATTTGGAGGTCTTTTCCACAATTGAGGGGTTTTTTTGACAGCATTGTTGCTATAGTTCTCATAAGCATATATTTGTTTATTCGATAAGTATTTTATTGGGCACTTAGCAACAATAAACATCTATCGAATGGTCCATGTATATGCATGGTAAATGTTCCAGGACAAGGTACAGAGAGGATGTATAGAACTTGATCAGACATTGTAACCACTTATAAGACCAAAATCCATGGATTGAAAGTGGCAAGCGTATCAGGGAAGCTGTGCTCTAAACTCCATCTCCTAGGCTCCTGAAATATTCAAACAGGAAGCCATTTTAAAGCTGAGGTGTGTCCTGGCGTGTTCAGGGAAACTGCTCTAAACTCCATCTCCTAGACTCCGGAAATATTCAGGCAAGGTAGGACGACCTCCATCTTTTCTCTGTCTCTGGCTAGCTGTTTCTCTGTCCACTCTCTCTCTTTAAATTTTTATTTATTTATTTTTTAATTTTCAACCACTTCTCCTCACCTTGGGCCTTTTCTTTCACTTGCTAATTTCAGAAGCCATTTTAAAGCTGAGGTGTGTCCTGGAATGTTCATGCTAGCGTGCTGTGTGGTTTTCATTTTTCACATGTAAAAAAATTTGTTTCCACCTTTTTGGTGTTTTTTTTTTGGTTTTTTTTTTTTTTTTTCTTTTTGCTTATTTGTTTTAACTTTACATTCCCACTCTAAGCTTCACTCTCCACACACTGAATGTCTAGATAGGCCTAGGTGCATCGTAGCCAAGCATCTGAATACTTTTAGAGTCATTGAAATCCTCACTGCTTATTGAACTTCTTGCTTTAATGAAGAAATTTCTCTTCATAAATCTGAACTCCTAACCTTTCTGTTGTGAAGCACAGTGGAGGATACATTTTGCCACAGAATGGCCAGAAACAACCACAGAGGCACAAAAAAAAAAAAACCATGAGAAATCAAGAAAATATCTCTCCTCTAAAGGAAAAGAACAATCCCTCATCATTCATAGACAGTACAGTAGAACTCATGGAAATGCCTGATAGAGAATTCAGAATATTCATAATGACAAAACTAAATGAGATGCAAGAGCTGAGAGAGAATGAACTCCAGAAGATGCAGGAGAAAAGAAACAACGAGTTCCAGGAGGTGTTAAAGTTCTTTCATGACCTGAAAGAAGAAATACACACCATAAAAAAGAATCAAATGGAATTTTAGAGATGAAGGCTGCCATTCAGAAAATCAAAACCTCCCTTGAAAGTATTAAAAGCAGATTATTCCATACTGAAAATCAAATCTTGGATGTTGAAGTCAAAACCTCTGATCTACAAAAAACAACCCCCCCCCAAAAAAAAAGCTGTGAAAATTAATTTGCAAGAGAGAAATGTCAGGTTACTTATTAAAGTCAGGTTAACCTCAGACCTCTCATCAAAAACAATGTGAGCAAGGAAAGAATGGGAAAATATCTTCAAAGTGTTAAGAGAAAAACAGTTTCAACCAAGAATATTATACCCAGCAAGGTTATCTTTCATATGGAAAGAAAGGATAAAAACATTCTCAGATAAACAAGACCTGAAAAAATTTGCCAATAGCAGATCCACTCTTCAAGAAGTTCTGAAAGGAGTGCTCTCCCTGGAAAACTAAAGGCAACATGCAGAAATAAGAGAACAAAAGGCAACCAAGAAAATGACCAATTTAATGTTAGGGACAAGAAATATCAATAATAACATTGAATGTAAATTTCCAGGATTTAAACGGAAAGATTGGACCACAGTAACACTGCATATTCAACAGAAGAGAGTTTGAACGTAAGACTGAAATCGCAAAATAGAATTTTATGACTTTTACATTACTGATTTCTTTTTTTTACTATGCTTTGTTTTCCCAATTTAAACATTTTACTTTCTTTTGAGTTGTTGATAGGTTCAGAAATTTGTTAAAATATTGTTCTTGTTTGTTTAAGTGGAAACATAAACTTTTCTTCTTCCTGATCCCTCTTGAATTGGAAATATTTGGGAGTATTCTTATTTTGTGGCAGAGGGTTATTTATATAAGTTTGATAATGCTTGTTGCATTGAATCAGAAATTGGAAATATTCAGTATCGGACAGGGAATGTCATACCTGAAGATTAATCAGAACACTATGGAACTAAGGTGGATCTCAAGTAAGTCAACAGAAGCTCTTAGAAAGATGACTTGGCACCATAAATAGTTGTGCCTGGTAGAGAGGATTAGAGAAGATAAATGAAAAAATTTATAATATAAAATAACCTGGACTTTTCCAGCCCAGCATTGTAATCAGTAGAGACTGCAAAAGAGCAACTACACCAGAGGATTATCTTGAGAAAAACTTAGAAGGAAGAAAAAAGAGACTGATCTTTGCTAGCAGATGGTATACCACAGAATACTTGGTAGGCAGGACTGAATTGAGAAAGTTTATGTGTGGCTAGCATGCTGGGCATTTGCTTTTCAACAGTTTGAGTAGCTGACATGTAAATATTTTCTCAAAAATATTTAAAACCATACTGTCTCTATTGTTACAGAGTCACAAACAAAATTATACAAAATTATAAGAAAAATTTTTGAACATTATCTCTAAAATTTAGTATTCTGAAATTTTGAAAGTTGTTTATTTACTGTCAAGAACTATGGAGTATGAGCCAAAATTTTTTGACATGTAAACTAAATGTTGTGGGAAAGTATAGAAATAAATGAATAAATGAAAAAAAGAATAAATAAAAAATGAAAGTGACAAACATAAATGAACAGCAATTTTTGAAAAAATAAAGCTAATGCTGTCTTATCATTTGTCCTTAAGAGTCCTAGAGCTTTTGGAAGAAGTGCTATCGATCAATGGATTTGATTCATTAAGAAGGGGCTTCAAATTTCAATGTGCTATACTGCTGAGGCCTTTAGATAGAATTATATTTGACCATTTTAATACATTTTCATTAGAATATATTATTGTTATAATGTTTTATGTATTAAGCTACATTGTTCTTTTTTTTTTTTTTTTTTTTTGAAGAGATTTTTTCTATAGGGGGTGTGCGCTCATTTTTGCTATAGGGTGCGTGCGCTCGCCAGATGGACAGAGAGAGACATAGAGACAGAAAGCGAGAAATCACCCCTCGGGGGGATGGTCACACCACAACCCTTTCTCCTCCATTCTCCTCTCAGGATCTTGGGCACACATGCATACGCGCCCGGCGTGAGTTTTAAGCCACCGGGTCCAGGACATGAACCGCGGTCGACTACGTGGGAGACCAGTGACATAGCCATTACGCTAACTGCTGGTTCCCAAGATACATTGTTCTAAAATTTTCATAGTTTTATGCACCTTTTAACATTACTTAATATTTTTATGATAGTAACTTTCTCCTTTTTTTTTTTTAATATTTGCTAAGACAAGATAGATTTTAAATTAAACCTTGGTCTTCAGCCCATTTATATTTTGGCTTGCTTGGAACAACACTTTGTTGTGTTTCGTTTGCATGCCAGGCATGATCTTTGCTTTATATGACTTACTTACCTTACATGTTATAATACATACGTTTCTACTCTTTTTTTTTTTTTTGCCTCTTTGCTTTTCTTTATTGTTTCTCATCTTTTGTTCTCTGTCTTTAGTCTCTTTATTTTATCCTAAAGAAAATTACTTTCCAATGTCATTAATGCATTTTTATAGTAAATAGTTTTATAATTATATTCATACTTATAACATGTTATATTTGTCTTAAATAAATCTTAAATATTCTTTCAGAACCAACCTCTAGGGTTGGTTTCTCCCTTCTAGGCAATCTAGAGCCTTTATACAAATTGCTATTTACATATATGTTTTCAAATTGTTGTTTAATTGATTCTTTGATTAAGTTGGACATCTTGAGGCCTGCAGGTAGTGTGCTGGTTAAGATGCTGAACTCTCACATGGCCAAACCTGGTCTGAGTCCCAGACCTGGCAGTTTGAAAATCATGTCTGGCATTGTACATAGGTGCCCAAAATCCCAAGAGGAGAATGGAGAAGGGATTGTGGTGTGTCTGTCTTCCCTGGGGGTGATTATTCACTTTCTCTTTCACTGTCTCTCCCTGTCTCTCTTTGGTGAGTGTATGAGCCCTGTGGCAAAAATCTTTAAGAAAAAGAAAAAATACATCAAGCTCAACATCTCTAACCCCCTTTTCATTAATGTTACAATCTACTTATCTTTTTTAGATATATCTCTCTGGCTTGCAAAATCTCCAGGGCTTCTTCTCTGCATATTTTTAGCTGTGATAGCTCACTAGCAAATTGTTTCAGGTTCTATAACACCTTAACTAGCTCCTTTCCATTTTTAAAAGAAAAAACAACTTTGCCAGATCGTGTTCTTGCACATTGGCTGCATTTCCTTTAGCTTTGGGTGGCTTTCACTACAAGCTTTCTTGTCTCCTACATTTCAGCATTCTTTTCTTTTTCTTTCTTTCTTTCTTTCTTTCTTTCTTTCTTTCTTTCTTTCTTTCTTTCTTTCTTTTCTTAACTGAAAGACGGCACTTGCACTGGTTGGAAAGAGAGAGAAAGTACTCCTCAAAGCAGTGTGATGCAATCCTTTGTCCTCCATGTCTCCATCCTGTCAGGATTTGGGGGATGCACACAAATATGCCCAGCATCTTTTTCAAGCTGCCGGGGCCAGGATATGGACCAATGTTGGCCATGTGAGAGCCAGCTCCCTGTGTGCTGAGCTTAACCACTGCACTCGGGACCAGCCCTAAGCACTTATTTTTATCTTTGTAGTTAGATACAGCCTGTTCCCTGAACTGACCAATCTCAAGAAACCAAGATTGAACAGTCAAAAGAGACTCTTGAAAGAAAAGAAC